TCATGCCGTTCAGTTACGTATTATATATATTTGGACATGCGAAAGAAGGAAGATAATTTCAAGAATATTCACATATGAATCATAAACATTGAAGCGTAAACAACAATAGTTGTTTGATTACAGAATTAGGACAACATAGTTTCAATATCATCTGTGTGTATATTCATACTATAATTTTTCGTTTAAATTCGATAAATAAAATATATATCTGATATAATTATATGGCAGTGCGCCCCTGACCCCTTCTTGCTTATGTACGTTCAACTTGTTTCTCGCAAAAAGCAAAAGTGTAGACAAAAGTCATTGCTTGTGCGGAGCAAGAAGAAGCAAGCTTCAGCGTACGTGTATTTAAGAATGTATGTGTGATTATCACATTTGTGTAAATACGCATAATAAGGAAATATTCAATAAACCTAAACATATGAACATATTCTCCTGATATATTTTAATTATATCAGGAAGTAAAATATGCTATTAAAGTAATTGAATTATGATATGCTTAATTCCAATTAATAAAATAAAAAATTAAATACAATTTTAATTTTATGTATTTTACGATTCGAACGTATATGCTCGTATTCGAAGAGCTTAACTCCTTCGCGCTTACGACCTAAGCCACCAAAAAGTGGAAACGTGGCCGCTTAGCCACCGTTTTATTATTATCATTTGTTTAATAAGTATATTGCTTACGCAGCGCACATACATAAGTTAGAAAACTAGCTTATTAAATGTTTATTTTATTATGAATTCTGGGGTTTTTACCGGTATTACAGATTTTTAATTCAAAAGGTTTTTCATAATTATAAATTTGTCACATCATAGAAATTGAAAACATAAATCTAAATAGGTATGCGCAACGATTTTTCATATAGGAATATTCGTTGTGTCTATTTATAGCATTTCGCATATTGTGTGGTGTATTTTTCTTTTTCGAAGTTATACTTTTCGATGTTCCCTCTTGTGGAATTACAAATTAGTACTCAAAAAGTTTTCATTTAACATTTGCTCCTTCTCTACTCATCAACATTCTCTGCCTAAACTACATACATATGTGTTTGCAGGCTTATATAAAGATGGTTGGCAACTCGGAACTCTTACGTTACGTGGGGGCTACGCTGTGTCCAACGTAAAATTATAAGAGATGAATAACCGAAATATTTATCGATATAATTTCTGTACACATGTGTGAAGTTAGTTATAAAATATTTGCTTCGAAACCTTAAACCAAATATAAATATTTTTGTTTATGTAAAAAAAAATGGTTTTAACTAATACTAAAAAGAACACTAACAATAATAATATTATCTTAAAATAAATCGTATATTGTAAAATATTATTCATTGTGACCCACCACTAATAAATGCAAAGTACTGAAGTACCGAAGAACTTAGTAGTATTTTCATATAAAAACAACTTTTTGTTTTATTTATGCACATTTAGTAAAATATTTGTAAGTGACACAATGAGAATTTGTGGTTTACATAATAGAACAGTGACGGCTGGTGCTGGCGGCAGTGCCAGTGCAATAGAATCATTTTTGCAGCCACAATTAAGAAAACAATTCGCCGATGAGGTGAAACAAAAGCAAGTGAGTGTGCATTTACCACACGTATATTTGTGAACTACTTATTATATATTTACTTTATATAAATTTCCACTTGTGACAATAGGCGATCTCAGATCATTTGATAAATAAAATACTCTACTCCAAACGATTGCTGGTTGACCATGTAGAAGCATTGGAATTGTGTTTACGGAACATAAATCAGCCCGTGGATGCAACGGATCAAACTGATGCAAAAAATGCTGGTAATGCTATAACCAGTGCCGAAATCTTTACTGCAAGAAATACTTGCATATTGTTAGGCACCACCATTTTGGAACACTTCGTAACACCGAAATGGCTACGATTAACATTGGTGCCATCGCTGCTGTTGACAACCGGCTTCAGCGCTATCTACATGGTTAAGAATATATTTATTTTTCGTAATAAGATTGTCGAAAGTGAGTTGGATAGCTTGATACGGGCGATTGATGAATTTGGCAATTGCATTCGGCGAAATATGACATATTTCAATGAAATACTCATAATGAAGCAGCAAGAGCTGATCGAGTAAGTGCAGTACCTCACGTTTTTATGAATATAATGTATTAAACAGGAATTGCATTTTTCAAGATCTCGTCAAATAGAGCGTGCTTGGGACTGTATCACAGCGGCGAAGGAGGTCACAGAAATATTGTATGATGCAACACGCAAATTGGAAACGCAGTATCCACTGCCTGTACGGTTTTCACAATTCTACTCACAAATGGAAGAGTTGCGCGAATGTGAATATTTTAAAAACAACGTCACCGATTACAGTCCAAAACACATTAAAGTGAGTATCTATATTTTATTCTTATTGCAAAGTTTTATTTGAAAATTATTTCTTTTAGGATTTTCACAATATATTTGCGTATGTGCAATCACAGTTCTTATTGCGACTTGCACTTACGATCTCAACTAAACCCTCCATCAGTGAATTGAATGGTGAATTAGTGAAAATTGATTGTCTTATTCGACAACTAGTGCAGGAGGAAGAAAATCATTTTAAAAATTTAGCTATGGAGATAAATAAAAAGAAACAGTTAGAATTAGAGATGTTAAATGTCACAAAAGCTATACAAACCCGAAACAGTCCCATCGCTGTACTGCAAAATTCTTCGCTCAAATTGAGTGCATGCATGGTAGCTGTTGCTGCTGAGTGTCAAGCGCTCGATATTACACTGCAACGACTTACCGAAACTGAAGGGGAACAAAAGGACAATGCCAAGCAACTCATTCAAGTAGCCAACAATATGAGGGGTATTGAAAACGCTTTATCTGTGTGCTTCGATGATTTTCAACGTCTAATGTTGGTATATAATAAATTTTTGAATAGCAAACTGGATACTCAACATCAGGCTCCTGTGACCGATAATGAAAATAACACAACAAACAATGATGAATTTCCCGAAAGTATTCTACGTGTAGAAATTTCACAAAATTATAATGATGAGAGTAAACGTGATGATTTCTATGCATACATGTACGATGAACAACAAGCACAGGCCGAGAAGGAGCAACAAGAAACTGAGGCCGCAGCTCAAACCAAAATAGATCATGACATGGAAATTTTAAACTTTGAGAAACGAATAACGCAAGGGAAATTTCGGCCTGTTTTGAAGCAATTGAAAGATCGCATCGATCCAATTAGAAGTGAAATGCTAGAAAAAGAACGTCAGGTGTTGGCAGCTAAGGGTATTAATGTAGAAGAACTCTTTGGTAAAGAAAAAAATACAAAGAATGTAGAGAACAAAAGGAGTATTAGCTGGGATCATAGTGCTGATGGCGATAGCGATAGCGAAGGATCAGCAGACTTGGAATTTCAAAGGAGCAATAAAGTGTTAAAGGAACGTGATAACTTTGCGGAAATGCGAAATTTTTTGTCACAAAAGCAAAGTATCAATATCTTCAAACTGGATGATACAGTACCAATAACAACAACGGGAAATGAAGAAATATTGGAAAGTGAATGCTAAAGCGCTTGAACACTGTGCAATTAAAAGGTGACGATAATAGCAAGGCAATTAGATAATTAGTCTTTTATTCTGCACATCATTTTGGTAAGGCGAAAATACAAGTGCATTTTACTTAGCAAATATCTACATATATAATTTAAAAGTTATAGTTATATTTACACACATTTTTCGTTTCGAGTGTAAATACTAATTCACAAATGAAAAGTAATTACAGGTTAAGAAATTTTGACTGTCTAAAAAATTTCAACGGATTGAATAGTATGCTGCTTTAGGAGTCGTAAATACACATAATAAGCGCTCTAAAGATTATAATTCTGAAGTTTGTAAATATGATAAAAAAGTAGATATGCAGTTGGATGATAAATATATATATATATATATATATACGATAATCAGCTTTTTAGCAAAATTTTACAGGCGGTGTTTGGTTTTACATAATACATATTAAAAACAAATATGGTAGATATGTATGTATTGAAAGCTTCAAACGAGCTTTTCCAAATGTATGATATAAAGCTATTGGAAACCTTTAATTTACTATTTACTCGGCCACTTTGCCACCCTTTTCTGCCCAGTGCGCTTTTATCTGTGAATTGATAAGCTTAGCCTCAAGCTTCATACTTTTATTGCTTCTTGTTTAGTTTTACTTTTAATTTAAGTTTTTATTTATCATTAACTTTTACTGTTACAACCGTTCATTTATATACTGAGTGGAAAACTTTGAAGTCAGCACACCTTCATACTTTTCCTAAAGCACAAAAGTTCTAAAGGTCTTTATTTTATAGTTCCTACTTAATTAAAATAAATGAATTTCAATAAAAATGCCGATTTTGATATTTTGATTTAACATAAAACATATAAATTAATGATAAGTTCAATTCGGAGTCATACATGGTGTGTCCTAAAAATAACCGAACTTTTTGGATATAAATGCTTATTATATTATCTTTGAAAGTTATTATTTATTCAAAATAGGTTCAGTACGATGTTTGGAGCGACCAACCGGCACA